AAATGGATAATCTTCTTCAGGAAAATTATCTATAGCGGAGTAATAAATGGACATCCACAATATAATTATTTTCATAATACTCCCCCTTAGATTTTCTTTAAAAGATAATGTGCCTCATTAAAATCTTACTAGAAAAAAATCCTGTGAGAAAAAATCCTAGTGAAGGAAAAAGAGTACACATATTTAATAATACGCATTGCTAGCTGCCTCATTAAAAACCTTATAAGGAAAACCCTGTGGGAAAAAATCTTAGTAAGGAAAAAAGAGTACATTGCATATTTTACTCCCCCTGATAAAAACCTTGTTTCAAATATTTAAGTCTCCGCATTCCAATCTTGTATACCATCTTCTCAAAAGTTAAAGTTGGTAAAGATTTAATGAATAAATCTGTCGGATTGTCACTTAAACGGATTTATTGCACATCAATGTCACCATTTTTCTGAAGATCGTGTGTGTAGAATAATTTTGGTGAAATGTGATTCGTTCTATCTCCTTTTATAAATCCTCCCTTCAATTGGGCTATGCATGCAGCATTGTCTTCGTGTAAAATTGTGGGTCTTTTCTCACATTCCAAATCATATTTTTCTCAAATGAAATGAATCACTAATCTCAACCATACGCATTCCCTACTTGCTTCATGAATAGCTATTATCTCAGCATGATTTAAAGAAGTAGCAACAATAGATTGATTTGTGGAGCGTCATGATATGATAGTACCTCCACATGTAAACATGTACCCGATTTGAGATCGAGCTTTATGGGGATCAGATAAATGACCTGCATCTACATAACCAACAAGATATGCACTACCTTTGTTAGCATAAAATAAATCCATATCAAGAGTTCCATTTAAATATCGCAATATATGCTTAATCTCATTCCAATGTCTCCGTGTAGGAGAAGAGTTATATATTGCTAATAAATTAACAGAAAATGTTATGTCAGGCCTTGTAGCATTAGCAAGATACATAAGTGCACCAATTGCACTAAGATAGGGTGTTTCAGGACCAAGGAGTTCCTCATCCTCTTCTGGAGGTCAGAACGGGTCCTTATTCACTTCAAGTGATCGAACAATCATTGGTGTACTCAATGGGTGCGCTTTTTCTATGTAAAAGCATTTTAAGACCCTTTATATATAGGCAGATTGATGGATAAAGATCCTGTCTGCTAAATGTTGAATTTGCAGACCAAGACAAAGTTTTGTCTTTCCAAGATCTTTCATCTCAAATTCGTTCTTAAGATATTCAATTGCCTTTGGGAGCTCTTCTGGAGTTCCAACAAGATTTATGTCATCAACATAAACAGCAAGTATAACAAATTCTGATGCCATTTTTTTTTTATAAAAATACATGGACAAATAACATCATTTATGTAACCTTATTTACCACATGCGCCTAGATTGCTTTAAACCGTACAAAGATCTTTGTAATTTGATTGAATACATTTTCTGAGATTTTGAATTTGCTTTAGGCATTTTAAATTCTTCAGGGATCTTCATATAGAATTAATCAAATGAGTCATATAGGTTATGACTTACATTTAAATGTCATGACATCTTCAGGTGTCTGGACTACAGGTCCGATCCTCACAATCTTTTATAATATTGTGCACTATATTGTATCAAATATATTGCCGACGATCATTTCGTATCAGTTCGCAATCGACATAACTTGTTGAGATCTCATCACTTTCTTTATTTTCAGGTACCTGAACTTCTTCTGGAGTTTCATGTTATGTCGTGGGCTCTTCCAGAGCTTATTTCCTCCTTATTATGATCATTTTGATCATTTGCTCCTATTCTTTTCAAGGATTGTTACCTTTGGAACCGATTGATCTACCATGCTTCATGCTTACAGTAAACTCTATCCTTCAGGGATTTTAATTTTAATAGGAGCATTTGCAGCTGAAATATGATATTTAATTTTGGATTAGCAAATGCTTCTGGCATTTGACTTGAATTATCTTCTAAGCGAGGATCATATTAATGATAATTCGATTCATATAGCATATTTTTCAACTGTTTTATTCCATCCCCCAAATGTTAGAAAAACTAACTCATATCCTTAATCTTCTTTGGAAAATCTATCTTTGTGCATTGTGGTAGAGAAATTAATCATATACCACACATCAAAAGTTATTAGATAGTAAAAATATTTGGTTTCTGATCCTAAATCAATTGTGAGGGGAGGACTTATCATATTTTGTTGATTTGATGCATACAAGTGTTGTTGTATGCAATTTAGAAAATCTTAGACCAACACATGAGGCTTTGTTATCATAAGCAATTGTTTAGCCATTAATAGGAGGTATTCGATGCTAAACTAACTTTGATATAAACCAGCATCATCAAGATGAACTATCTTGATTTCATAATCTGAAAATTATGCTCTTAATTGAGAAAGACAATTTCAAATGCCAAATTGCAAGTTGACAATAAACATACATGTAACCATCTTATATATGCATCTATAAGTGGTTCACATGATAGGTGAATGGGCCCATATTCACCTTTTATATATTCCAGAATTCGGAAATTTTAGTCCCAACTTTAGATGGTATAATCAAGTTATTATGAGAACAAGCAACACAAGAGAATTCTTGAAGAATCTTCTAGTTCTTCAGTATATGCTTATCTGAATTCTCAAATAGCTCATTTAAAAATGGCAAATGAAAACTTCAAGTTTATCATGGCATGTGCGATCTCTAAGTAAACTTCTGGTTTACTATGGCATAATCTTTTGTATCAGTAAACATCTGATTTACTGTGGCTACTTTTGTATCGGTAAATTTCTGATTTACTGTGACTGCTTTTGCATTAGTAAACTTCTGGTATATTGTGATACATGATATAGTACAAATTTGAAGAATAAGACAGGTATCTTCTCACATACATATTTACCCCATATGATTGTGGAAACATGAAGATTTTCAATCTTTCAATCATTTATAGTCTCAATATGATAGCCATTTCTATTAGTAAACTTCAGGTTTATTACAATATATGTTTTGACCATAATCATATAATATGAATGGCATATTTGTATATAAGCTCTTCGAGAGCCTTCCTTTATTATCCACAATCTAATATTTACCAGACACTACTAGTGTCATGTGTCTTCTAGACAACAATTAGCTCTTCAGGAGTTGTTGATACATTTTGTACTATCAAATATTGCTCAGACACTTCTAGTATCATGAGAGAAAATCATAATCAAATGAACAATATAAAACTAATTCTAAATTTATAAATGATAAAAATTAAGAATTTTAATAATTCTACCACTAACTTTGTGATAAATATCTCCTTCAAGGAGAAATATCATTAACATCTGAATATTTTGTATCAATACAGCAACCACATAGTCATTGCATCTTTTAAGGAAAGATACACGAGTTGTTATTTCCTTCGGGGAACTCAATAACTAACCATAATATATTAATGTGGTTATAGTAGAAAGCATTCTACAAGAATGCTTTTGCCTTAGAATGATACTTAATAAAATTTTCCAAGATGTCTTACGTACAACAGGTACGTGCTACAATGATCTTTATGCCACAAAAATAATATTTATATCATTTGTTATTCTAGCTCTTCCGGAGGTGAGTTGTGGTATTTCTTCATTCACTATAGAAAATGAAAATGTGCTTCAAAAATAACTTTGAATAGCTCATTATTTTATCTACGCACAGAAAGACACAATTTCATAATATTTTCCTGCTTCGGGAGAAAATTTCAATTGTGTTACTTCTTCAGGAGCAAATTAAAATACGAAAAATTGAGTATATATTCTCTCAATCATATTACCTCTTCCGGAGCTGAATTGTAATATATTTACATCAAGAGCACGTTCATATTTACGACTTTATTAATATTATCACATTCACTTCAGGGAATGGATTAATATTTATAAAAAATTCTCATCCTTCAGGAAATCGAATATAATTATCTGAACGCGCATTAATCACATCAATTGTGATGCTTCAACCTCTTTTAAAATATTTACTACTTCAGGAGCAAATCGAGGCGTGCATGTAATATAGAGAATATTTCTCTAGCTTATCTTTAATTGTAACCACAGAAAGCCTAAATTATCACTTCTGGTGGTCATAGGCATATACCACTTCTGGTGGTTAACAAAATTTAGTTACAATGAGATATACGAAACATAACCACTTCTGGTGGTTGTATATTTCTTGCAAACTCTGCTGGAGTTTAAGTGGATCTAACAATGTTATCCACTTTGTAATCCTTTATTAAGATAATTAGGATGAAAACAAATACCAAAATAGGTATTATATACATAACATATAACCAAGCAAGCGATGATAAAGATATTAAAATATAACCAAAAGGCTCAAATTAAATTACGCAAATTTGGCCACACCAGATGTAAGTGATATCTATATCACTACTGCCAAGAAGAAAAACTCACCACCTCAAGGGTATAATCTACCTTATGATCCTCGTTATGAACAAGATCTAACCACAGACATAAAAGTGTCGCCTTACGTCAGAGACGAACACTGAAATAGAAATTAAATTCGAAGTAAGTGCTCAAAATGGCAGAGCCTCGTGCTGATAACGTGTTATAAAATAAAGACTATAAAAGAAATAAATTGAAGACAAATATAGAGGGAGATTGATATTTTATTTCACTTTTAAAGTTATGTTTATAATGAACTGAAAACTCCTCTATTTATACAAGAAAGGAAGCAGCTGCGAGACTTTTCTTTAGCTGCTTGTAAGCTAACTGCATGAGTTGCTTACAACCTGCCTGTTTAATAAGAAGCTGCTGAAAATCATTTCATTGAGCTGCTTGCAACCTGCCTGCATCAGCTCCTTAAAATTTTTTTTTAACAGAGTACTAAATGGATAATCTTCTTCAGAAAAATTATCTATAGCGGAGTAATAAATGGACATGCACGTTATAATTATTTTCGTAACAAAACTGAAATTATAATTGGGTTGGGGAACTATTTTCCCCTGTTCTTTTCTTCAGTTTATAATATTAGACAAAACTTGCCGCAAAACAATAACCCCTCGCTCTCCTGCACTCGCCCTCTCTCTCTTCTGTAGATGTTGTAATTTTCTTACAAGTTTTACATTCTAATTTCTAAGCGGGGTTTAATTAGGGTTTTACACTCAGCTATGTCTTCTACCCTTGAAATCGAAGCTCGAGAGTAAGTTCCAATTTTAATTATATAAGTATATGTTTTTGTTTTTATGAGCACTGTGTATATAATGATTATATGTTTTTCTTTGCTTGCAGTGTGATTAAGATAGTTCTTCAATTTTGCAAGGAGAATTCATTGCATCAAAGTTTTCAGGTTTTACAAAATGAGTGCCAAGTTTCACTGAATACAGTGGACAGTCTTGAAACATTTGTTGCTGATATTAATAGTGGAAGATGGGATGCAGTGTTACCTCAAGTTGCACAACTTAAGCTTCCTAGACATATACTTGAGGATTTGTATGAGCAGGTATTCACCTTCTCTACGATCTTGTCAACAGTGACGAAGCCAGGAATTTTTATAAGGGGATTCAGAAAATACTATAGAATGTTATAGTTGAGATTTGAACTTGTGATCTAAATCAATTTTTGAATCCCCTTTACCATTACCTTAACTTTTTTTGGGGGGGATAAGGTCCCCTTTACCACTACCTTATGCAAGGTGATTCAACAGTTTATATATAGTAATTTAACAGAAAAGTTTTGTTTTTACCATATTTGCATAGGATAATTTTTTGATGAAGGGGATTCAATTGAACCCCTTCGCTCTTATTAGCTCCCCCTCTGCACACAAGTAGGAGTGATTTATGCATAGTCATTTAGGTTCACGCATTGTGAATATAGTTGTTATAAAATTAATAATTTTTTTTTTGATGGTGGTGTCCGTACTAACTTCCGCACGTTGACTATTCCACTGATACTTGCTACCTCCCACTAGCATTGGTACCCGGTAACTACCAATTAATAGAACCTAAAATGGATGAAACATCGAATAGGTAGAGATGAAGGTCCTCTATTGATATCTTATACAATGAAGATGAAGGTCCTCTATTGATATCTTATACGTTTTATCATTTCATGTATTCAAAGTAAAAAATGGGAGTTTTGCGTGCGGACATTCTTCTTTGTTCAATTGAATTTTATCTCGAGGTGTCAAATGGGTTGAGAGGAAAAAGGAAGAGAAAGATATGTTGGTTGCTTGATAATTTATTGAATACCCGTCTCACAGCTCACCTATTTATAAAGTAAAAACATAATACACATAATATTTGTTCAATGTGGGACATCATCTATCTAAGAACATAAAAACTCCTATATTCTAACACACCCACTCAAACCCAAAGGTAGGAAAACCAACTTGAGTTTGTTTATTTTGAAAACAGAGAAAAGTAAACCATCAACAAAATAGTGGATGGTCATGGAAAGCCACATAAATAGTGTTACACGAAAGGTTTTTGGGGAAAAAATTATCTTCCTGAAAACTGGTCAAAACAATGACCAGAATAGCTGGAAGAATGGCCGAATACTTGCCAAACAGTGGTGGTGTCACAGAATGGTTACATGAATTGAGCGCTATTGCCAAACAGTCACAGGAAAAGAAGTTTGATGTTGCACACTGTCACTTGAAAGAGGGACATTGTTGCCAGAACAGCCATCAGAAAGAGGTGTAATGCTCTCAGAACGGTCAGTTGAAACAGGCATGGCACCATTGGATGGTTCCTGTAATAGGAGTAGTGCCAACTGTAACAGGCACAGGAAAGTGGCAAGAATAGTAAAACTATATAAAGAAAAACTTAGATGGACAGACATCATAAGCTTGCTACCTGGTAGGCAGAAGTTAAGAGTCTGTCAAAAATTATACAGACTATGATTTCAAGTGAGAAGTAGAAGAGAAAGTGTACTGATAACTTGATAATTGATGAAGATAAGACACTTATAAGTGTAAAGCACGATGTACCTTTGATATTTGTCTAGAAGTTATCACTTCTCACATAATAGCTCTCTCCACAACACTTAACATTCTAATATAATGAAGGGATTTGTGCTTTTTTTAAAACCTTTAGGATCTGCATATAATTAATGTTTTGCATGCTCCATTCTTTCTTATTGTGATGCCTATAGCTAGCATGGCATCAGGCTCATTACATAGTCTCTGCTGCATACTTGCACAAGACAGAACTTAGAGTTCAGCGTCATGCTTCTTTTAGTAAGGTGCTGAATTAGGATGAGCTTCGAAGATTATAAGAAAAAAAAAATTCATCAATTATAAATGTATCTTTTCCTTGCCTATTTTTTCCTCGAAGTACTTAGTCACCTCTTTTGCTTTCGTTTTGGTATCGAATTGTGCTCTTAACTGCTTTCCTTATCTGATAGATAGTTTTGGAAATGATTGAACTTCGGGAGATGGATACTGCACGGGCTATTTTAAGACAAACAAACGTGATGGGTGTCATTAAACAGGAGCAACCAGAAAGATATCTGAGGCTTGAACATCTGCTAGTCCGGACTTACTTTGATCCACATGAGGTTAGTATCATTCTTTAAAAAAATGATTAAATTTCTTTGGTCTTTTTTTTCTTCTGTGAATCATAGCCGTCAAAGAACTGGTGAGATTTAACCAAGAAAAAAAGAAGATATAGAGAAAGAAAAAGCATTCTTGGTTTTTTTGAATACCCTCGTAGGTTGTCCTCTAGTTTAGTTTGCAATGCCCTTCAAGTGGATTTGCTCTGTGATGGGAAAAATTTCGTATATTTACGAAAAAACTGTGTTAGGCTTCTCTAAATTCGTTGGTCCCCACTCCGCAAAGTTGCGTCTTGTTAACTTTGGCCTGAATATATGCTGAGTTTGGCTTTTGATGTTGCATTCAAATATTATGTGGACAAGCTAGTGTGGCTTTTGACGTTGCATTCAAATATTATTTCTGCAGGCTTATGCAGATTCAACCAAAGAAAAGAGGCGTGCACAAATTGCACAAGGTTGCCATTGTTTCAGTTTCTGCAGCTTTATACATAAACCTGATAATACACATATTTAGTGAGGATTATTTGCAGTCAGTTTTAGTCTGTTCCACATGAAACTGAGGAGTATAGTTTTGGTCTGTTCCACATGAAACTGACGAGTTAGTTTTAAGAATATATCTTGGTAAATGTACGGTGGCTGAAGACACCTATATCCTTTTTTTTCTTTTTTGATAATCGAGATATCTCCGAGGGCCTCTACTGCACGGCTTGAAATTGATGGACAATGGGCTCGCCCTCTACCCTTCTCCATTTAATACCAGGCTTTGGTTTACTGCGGGATTTGAGTGCACCTAACCCACACATCAGTCGATGGCTCTTACTACTAGACCAAATCTATGAGGACCGTACAGGGTACCCCTATCCGTATCCAAATCCTAAGATTCATCTGATGATGAATTTAAACTTAGATTTGCTCCGAGTTACATACTCGTAGCTCTTCATTTTTCAGTACTTACTTTTTACTGTTTCTTATCATTTGTACAACTGCACCAATTCACAAATGCTGTGAAAGTTAGGATAAATGGGATGAGAATGCAGGTGATAATGTTGGATCTGAATCTGTGGCGAGCTTCATAATGTCATTTATATATGCTGAGGCATATTATTATCTGTACTCTGGATTATAATATATTTTCCTTGGCTGTATTTCAGCACTCTCTCAAGAGGTTTCTGTTGTTCCACCTTCACGACTAATGGCTTTGATCGGTCAGGCCCTGAAGTGGCAGCAGCATCAAGGTGAGATTTATAATTATCAATACATGTTTTCTCCCCTTTATATTACTGGATACATTTTTCAGATTGAAATTTAACATCAGACTGACAAGCACTTTGCATTTTTTTAATAAGTGACTTACGAGCACTTTGCGTTTGTTGAGATAGAGCAAACTACAGGCTTTATCAATGACCTCAAATTCAACTATTTGTTATATGTTGGTGGGAATGGTGAATTTTGGATCCTACATTACACACCAGTATCGATCATTGATGAGTAATCTCTGCCTCTTTATTTCACTTTTGGGGAGGCAGGTTTTGGTTCTCAGGAGCTCATGGGTTCTAGATCCTTCGTTTGTTTCAAATCCTTGGACTAATTTTTGCTCTGAAACATTGATATATGTCTCTAATATCAGTGAATAAGAAGTATTGTAACAAACAACACAAGGAGCAGCAAAAAGTGCAAGAACTGATAGACTGCATCTTCTTGCCTATGGTTTTAGTAGCTCATCAGCTCCAGAGCCAGTTTTCTATCTTGAAACAATTTGCACACTTTATCCTATCTTGACACACCAATACTGGATGAAAGCCCATATGTTTCTCAAAGAAGGATAGAATAATACTTTTCTTTTATCTTGTGTTAAGTGACATTTAATTTTAGGATTTTCATGGTTGATCTATGGCACAAATATCACTTTATCCAAACGGTGTTTAGAATTAATTCCTTTACTAGCATGTCAATATGACTCCTTTTTGCGGATATCATTTTTTTCTATCTCATTTCAGGTCTACTTCCACCTGGTACTCAATTTGACTTATTCCGAGGAACAGCTGCCATGAAACAAGATGAAGAAGATATGTATCCAACAACTCTTGGGCACACTATTAAGGTTGGTTTTATTATCTCAGTTCAGCTTGCCAAATTCATTTTGTTTTTTAGATGAAAACATGCAATTGTGTGTTTTGGTGGTTATTTGGTTTCATCAAATACCTCATGCTGTTTTGCGATTAAATTTTCTGAAATCCCTGGAATTTGTTCCATTCTTTCAGTTTCTGTGCATGTATGTTCAGATATCACTGCACGATCAGCTTTTTGTCACTGCTCTCTCTGTTTATTGTGGGCAAAAAGAAATTACTTACTGTAGTTTTCAGTATTAAAGAGTATTTTTCTATCTTCCTTTCTGCAAATTTGCCGGTAGAGATTGGTCTATAGTTTTACTTTTCACTTTTTCACATTTCGTTTTCTGGTAAAACCTAGAAGATTAGATGTGGTCAGACAATTGCTTATGTGAAATATAGCGGACATGGGCAATTCAATTTATTTAAGTTTTCTTTATTTGATCTTCAGCAATTACACTGGGTCTGTTGTTGTTGTTGTTGTTGTTGTTGTTGTTGTTGTTGTTGTTCAGCAATTAAAAAAAAGGAGCGTCTCTTCTTTGATCCCAGCTCCCCATCCACCCATGTTTTGATTTCACTCTCTTCATCTAACAAAATAAATAGTTAAGCAGCGTCATGCTGTACTTTCTTGAGTCTCTTTTCTTGTGATCATTGTCATTGTTTATTTTCCTTTATTTTTTCCTGTGTGGATGTGCATTTATTCCATTTGGCTTCTCATTAAGATATGTATACCCTTGCTATTTTACCTAATCCCTTTCCCTGTTTTTTTTCATTCTCTCAAGGTTGCGTTTCGGTATAGGGTCTTTGCAGGTTTTACTCCATGGTGTTTGGCCAGAATAATGACGTATATGAAAGAAACTTAATCTGAACTCTAATCAAGTTTTACTTAAATCGAGAAAATTCTTTTCGGTAGAGCTTAAAATGAAAATTGAAAATATTTTCCAGGCATCTGTTTTTATTTTCTGGTGATGCCGTCAGTTCAATGTTTTCTTCTTTTCCTTCTCGGGTTTTCTCTTTTCATCTAACCTAAAAAAAGTACAAAAAATAAGTAACAAATGTAGGTCCAAGATGCAAAATCCTACTGCAGCAAGCTGATATGTGTCTCAAAGAGAAACCCATTTCTGTGTGATAATGAAGCACAAGCCCAATCTGGACTTAGCAGCTTCAGTTGGAGGCAAGGAAAACATGATGTGAGATGTGAGGTGATATTTAAGGTGGCTTAGCTTCTCCAGTAGGAGCAGGGTGGAGCCATGGAGGAGGTTGTATAAGAAATAACAGTTTATAAGATGTTGAATAAAGGGGATGCAATATTGAGAGTGGGCCATTGGGCAGTGGTGGATGCAGCTCTAAGGCAACGGGTTCATCTGCCCAGTACTTTCGACGCAGACCATTGATATATCTGTGAAAACCCACTAAAATTTCAACAAATTTTAGATCTGAACCGATAATAGTACAATGAGTTCAGTGCTAAGAACTTTAAAGGTCAAACATATCAAATGTAAATCCTGGATCCGCCTCTGCCGTTGAGAGAAATAGATGAAATGCAAAATTTCAGAATTTACAAAGGATACTATCCATTTTTGTGCTGAATGGATGGCTCTTATTGTTTCCCTTGTATCCCTTGATTTGGTAACTTGCAAAACAGAAAATTCTTGTCTGTATGTAGCAGTTCGGCACATGGATTTTTTTGGTTTTCTTTCCTTTTTAAAAATAAATAAAAACAAGAGGCGAAACCTTAGAATCTTTCTTCTTGCATTTCCTGACGAGCACGAGGTTTCTTGAAGATGACAATTTTCTTTGTAGTAAGTCATACTTGTTGTATATTAATAAATAGACATGATATAGGAATAACATAAAATAGCTTGAGAAAATTTTCTTCTCATTTGCCATGCTTTAGTTATCTGGCAGTCAGTGAGGTTGCCTTCAAAACTATGACTGCTTATTTGTGCCTGATAGTCTAACTTTCCTGACGCAGTCACACTTATTTTTCACGTTTAGGTTCCAACTTCTTTTCATCTTTCTCAAAGATAATACAAAGTAGACCAATGAACTCCTGGGGCAGTCTTTTTTATTGACTGCATGAAACAATTGTCATGCACATGGAATAGGAATATGTTATAGTTTCTCATATGTACAGATGAATAAACTTTCAGAATCATTGCTTTGTCCTTTTGCATTGTTATGGTGGTTGCACACTCCTGATGTTTTTAACTAATTTCTTTGAATATATCATATTTACGTTCAACATTTTCTCCTTTTCTTTAAGGTGAGGGTAGGGATTTCAATCCAATAAAATGTTTATTTTACTAGTTTTGTTTTGCCTGCAGTTCGGGAAGAAAAGTCACCCAGAGTGTGCTAGGTTCTCACCAGACGGACAATTCCTCGTCTCATGTTCAGTTGATGGATTTATTGAGGTATGTAAGTCTACAAATCCTCTGACTTCGTTTTCTTTGTTGATAATGGGAGTAAACTCAGTTGTATCATCCGTCCACCAGGTTTGGGACCACATAAGTGGAAAACTGAAGAAGGATCTCCAGTACCAGGCTGATGTGAGTTCCTATTTATATTTTTGTGTACATACTTGATTGTCTGACTTGTCCTTATTTTCTGGGAAGTAAACTAATCTGTCATGGTCACTGTCACGCCTGCATATTACTTTTGGTGCTTAAAAAATCTTTGATGGAAGCTTTCCTGAAGAAGGTTGAATGATCTCTGAAAAGAGGACCTGGATAGTAAATGGACTCAAATTTGTATTAGCTATTTTCGAACTTGTGTTGTTCATGCTTGTAAGGCACTTTATATTTGCTGACCTGCATATTTCTGTAGGAAACCTTTATGATGCATGATGATGCTGTCCTTTGTGTTGATTTCAGCAGAGACTCGGAAATGCTTGCATCTGGGTCTCAAGATGGAAAAATAAAGGTAGGCGTTTATTTTGATACCTATCTGTTTTTTTTATTATTTTCTCTGCAAGTTTTTCTGAAGTGAGTCTGAAGAGCTTGGCATGATCTACCAGTCTTAAATTTGGTATCACTGGTTCCTTGTCCCTTCTGTCTCTTCTTCTAGAGCAGTTGCATTGTAGAGATGCATGTATGTTTGGATTTCTATATTGCCTCACTTCAAATAGGTTCAGTACTTGGGGACAAACTTTTCAACTCACAAAGAAGAGATCCATCCCATGTCTGATGTATTAAGTTGACTCCAGTGCATGTCAAGAACATATTCTAATGGTCTGAACGTGTGAGAATTAGCAATAGAAAGTACTCAAGCTGTTCTATTTATTGTCCCAGTTTGACCTAACATGATTATATAGAGTAGAGTTGAAAGTATGAATTGCTTTTTTTTTTTTTTGATTTGCACCGGGTGTCCAAGTCTCTTTGAGCCCCGACTAATCCCGGGGGTGCACAGGCCCTCGGCAAGGAGTTTCCCGCAAGTGCACCACGGTTAATTCAGGTTTTACCCAGTCCGATGGCCCTCAGAAATTGTTTGCACCCAGTAGGTTTCGAACTTGAGACCTTGAAAGGGAGCAAACCCCAAGGCTCAAGTCAATTGCCACCGGGCCAACCCCTGATCATGCTTATTATCTTTTCATTTGCCATGGGAAATGATCATGACCTGCTCAGGTGATTGCTCTGTCAAAAAGAAAAAAAAAAGAGGCAAAAGGATTCCTGACGGGGGCTGTGCACAGAGCATTCTGAGCACTCGGTGTTTGCTATTGCACCTGCTGCTTCCCTTTGCACTTTTGGTATTATATGTTATCTTAACTCTGTTTATTGATATCTGATGTTTCTACATTTGATACTGTCATGATAGGTTTGGCGCATAAGGACGGGTCAGTGCTTGCGCCGTCTTGAACGTGCACACTCTCAGGGTGTCACCAGTATAGTCTTCTCTCGAGATGGAACTCAGATCTTAAGCACATCATTTGACAGCACAGCAAGGTTATTTTTTATTATTATTTTTGCCATTTTCTGTTGTTTTGATGGCATGTCAGTGAGTGGATGTTCGTCACTGTGATCTTTTTCTCTTAAAAGATATCCTCAGAGATGCAATCACCCCCTTCTTTTATCTTCCTGCAAACCGGTGGAAGGAAATAAAAGAAAAGGATAAGGGCTCCTTTAATAGAAATTAATTGCTGTCAGTCTTGATTGGGAGACGCATGTCTTTCATTCTCTGATATCTCTTTGCTTTATCAAATAGAATTCACGGTCTGAAGTCAGGAAAGTTGTTAAAAGAATTTCGCGGCCACTCGTCTTACGTTAATGACGCTATCTTTACTAGTGATGGATCTCGAGTCATTACCGCATCTAGTGATGGCTCAGTGAAGGTAAGTTACTTGCAACCTAGAACTCGTGATTGAGACACACGTGTGTTGTAGTTATCTGCATTAAGATTCTTTCGATATCTACATAGTTCTTTGACCGTAATTTGTCTGGGATACCTACAACAGGTCTGGGATTCGAAAACAACTGAGTGTCTACACACATTTAGGCCACCACCTCCATTAAGGGTATTCAACTCTCATTGGGGCATTACTATCTTTTTCTTGCCTTTTTTTTTAAATTTTCGTAGGATACTTACATGAAATATTGTTTTTGAACTCATTTGTGGCTTCCATCTTTACCTCTGCAGGGCGGTGATGCATCTGTGAACTCTGTCCATCTTTTCCCTAAGAATACTGACCACATTATTGTGTGTAACAAGACATCATCTATTTATCTCATGACACTTCAAGGACAGGTAATCATAGTTGTGTTAGTGTTGTAATCTCCGCTCTATTTTGTTGGTCGTTTAATTATATGTAATTACTTTGCCTATACGTTACAGGGTAGATGAAAAGCGGGTTGTATATTATGCTGAATATTTTAATTGTTATTACCATTTGAGGAATTTTACGTGATTAGTGCATATCGTTTAAGTGTTTTTACAATCTTCAGGGAAATCATTAGTGCTAACATTTCACTCTTCTGCTCCATTCCCCATAAAAATTTCATTTATATTTCCTTGAACTAATAATGCCTCCTGAGAACTTCATTAATTCGTATTTCCGTTGAAACTAATGATGCTCCGGTGGTTTAATGACTAGCAAGACCAGTGTTATTGGGGGTAAGGTCAAATGTATAATTGCATATGCTCACGGTTGAGTATGGTCTAGTGTTGTACAATATATTGGGCCTTTTGCTTATATTTTGAGCAATTCTCTGTAAACCATATCTGACAAGTGACAACTTCCAAAGTTTGCTGGATTCTACTTTGTCATGGTTTGCTTTTTAAGTGTGGATAGTAGTTGGTTTCAGATTACAAAAAGACCAAATGCATATAGGCTGAATGACGATAAAAGAATTGTAATGATTTAAATATCTCCTGAAGTTTTATATACATGTGACTGTTATGTGTCTCTTTGTGTGTGTTGATAGAAGCAAAAAGAATTTGTTTGCAGTGTCACCTTTCGCACTTTATAAGAGAGAACAGGGAGAGGGAAGTGGGATGAGTACAATAGTATTCAAATTATGCATTGTAGTTGAGCTGGCATCGATAATTTCCGGAGATTCTCTCTTAATTTTGTTGGAAAACAGACTAGAGTGGTGAAAAATGGGTTTTCCAACAATCAGGCGCACGTTCTTGTAGAAATGGAACTAATCTTTATTAATAAAAAGTTAAATAAGGTAATTATAATGGTAAATGTATTTATCAAAAAATTATACTATAGTAGATTAAATGATTGCGCATTGCAGAATTTTAAAGAGCTCAAACTGTGCATGAGTTAAATTCCTGCAATTTTTGGATGTAGGTTGTTAAAAGTTTCTCATCTGGTAAAAGAGAAGGTGGAGATTTTCTCGCTGCTTGTCTATCACCAAAAGGTGAATGGATTTACTCTGTAGGCGAAGACAGGTATGACCAAAATTTAAGTCCTTCTCACTATTGCAATTTGAGTATCAATGCTATTAGATGGTGATTTCCTCATCCTGCTTCTATTAGATTTAAAACTTCAAGGATCTCTAATCTGGAGTTGTCTTTACAACTAAGTTTAGCTGGTGGATTATATATGTGCAGTCTAAGGAATTAATGTGAAACTCCTTTGGCTGTCTTCGAGCTACTTATAAAAATTCCTCGCTAGTTGTAGAGTTCCGATATATTTCTTTTTCCTTCCTTTCTAACAGTCAATGTGTGCATCAGTTATATGAACTTGATGAAGTGCTTGCTATTATACCTATGAACTTTGTATTGAAACAATCTTGGGTTGATGAGGTGTTTTGTACATTTCGACAGAAATTTGTACTGCTTTGGTTTTCAATCAGGCAAACTGGAGCATCTGATGAAGGTAAGCTCTTAACTCTGAGGTTAAGTTTGTATCTACCAGGTGTTATTCATTGCTTTTATTAATGCTTTTATCGGCGTACTGTGTGAAAATATGGCTTTGCATTGGTTCTAAGACTTGCATTCTCATTTAAGTTGGGGACAGGTTAAAGCGATTGAGCATTTGTACTCTCTGCATTCTGGCAGGTACATGAAAAGGAAGTTATTGGTATTACACACCATCCCCATATAAACCTTGTTGCCACATATGGAGAAGACTGCACCATGAAACTGTGGAAGCCTTAACCAGTCTTTGCCTTACTGAAGTTTGCAGAAAAGCAATATTTTCGACAGTAAAGGTTAATTGTTTGTTGGATATGTTGCCTTGCCTCGGAGGTGGATGCCGCAATTCTATTTGGGGTGGATTTCGGGTGGTGGGTGGGGGCGCGAGGATCGTATCGGTTGGTTAGTGGGATCTGATTTATCCAGCTTTTGTAATCTTATGTAATTTATCTCCTACTTTGTTGGATTTTAGTCTATCAAATCTTAGATTCTCAGATTATTCAGGCTATTAAAAGTTTGTATTCATTGAGTTTTGAAGAAATTTAAATCTCGGTATCAAATCCTAGACTTGTGAAGTAAAATAGTGACTTACGATCTGCCCTTTTGATTGTTTATTATTTTTAATAGCAGGTGTTATCAGGTTCTAATATGTTGTGTTTTAAAGAAGTGAATATCGAATTTTCAGATGGGTCTTTTAACAAAGCAACATGGATGGCGATGATTCATATAGCTGGCCTCGATTAGTTTGGGACTGAGGCGTAATTGTTGTTGTATTTTAATTTGCATATGGGGCAATGACAAAACTAATCCACCTAAACAGGATATTCTCTTAGGGTAGAAGTCTGCATAATGAGCAATAGTTGTTTCTGATTTCTGTGAGGTAGTGGTGGCAAAATGGATAAAATAAATAGTTATCCATCCATATTATCTACAAAAAATGGATTGGATAATGAACTTTTTAAAAATGGGTCAAATATGGATACGAACCATATTATTCATTGATGCAATTAGTGAAGATCGCAGTGGAATTTCGTTAATCTAGGAGCTAATGCTCGAAGAAGATGGCAACTAGATCAGGGTAATACTGAGAAAATTATCTAGAAGAGAAATGAGAAAGAGAAGAGTAGAATGATCTTATTTCATGAATGACTTCAATTACAATGTATCAGTGTATTTATATCACCATCTAACAAGCAACCATATTGATTATAGTCTCTCTACAGTGCTTCTTCCCCCTAACTGTTTTAACTAACTTTCAACTAACTCAGAACCAAGTATAACTAACTCTTCTAACAACTGTAACTAACGTGATGCTAACTAACACGATACTAACTGTAATGCTCATTTCTCCCACAATCTTATACTTGCATCAATACCCCTCGCTTAAAGATGATCCTTGTCCTCAAGGATGGAATGCTGGAAAGCAGTGTTGTAATATCTGTGGCTTGTGTTGCATCAATACCTGCCCATTTAACTAAGACTTGACATATAGCTTTGTTACCCTTCTTAACCATTCGCCTAACTAAAATAGATTCAGGAGTAGGGCAATGTGGGCTGGAAAGATGAAAAACTGGAAAACTGGAGGGTGGTTAATGGTAGTAGGAACCTCAAGACACTTCTTAAGTTGTGAGGCATGAAAGGTAGGGTGAATCAGCACATCAGCCGGAAGTAACAGCCTATAGGCAACTGCACCAATCTTCTCAACAATAATATATGGCCCAAAATGTTTAGCTGCCAACTTGTTGAAGGGTCGAGTAGTAACTGATACTTGTCTGTAAGGTTGGAGCTTCAGGTAGACCCAATCACCCACACTAAAAGACCTGTCAGTCCTGTGTTTATCAGTAGTGTCCTTCATTCTTCGTTGAGCTCGTGTGATATGGAATTCCAGCAACTGAATCACTGTCTCTCTAGCTTCTAGGGACCTGTCAACCATCTCATAAACAACTTCACCAGCCAGGCAAGGAAGGTGAATGGGAGGTTTCTGCCCATACAAAACCTCATAAGGAGTGTATCTGATGGCAGTGTGATAAGAGGTGTTATACCACCATTCTGATAATGACAAGTAGGAAGACCAGTCATGGGGCTTATCAGAGCAGAAACACCTTAAGTAAGTCTCCAATGTTCTATTCAAAACCTCTGTTTGACCATCAGTCTGAGGGTGGTAAGCTGTTGATCTCTGCAATTGGACACCTGTAGTGTGAAAAGCTCTTGCCAAAAACTACTGAGAAACACAGGATCTCTATCACTTGAGGCATGCCATGAAGTTTAAAATGTTGTCTAAGAAGCATTGAGCTACAGATTGAGCAGTATATGGATGGGACAAGGCCGTGAAATGACCATACTTAATCTCTCTACCACAACCAAGATCACCTCCTTGCCATTGGACTTAGGTTGACCTTCAATAAAATCCAAGCAAATATCAGTCCAAACTCCTTTAGGAATTGGTAGAGGCTGCAACAATCCAGGAGATGCAACAGCATTATATTTGTGCCTCTGACATATATCACATTTGCTGATGTACATCCTGGTATCCTGGCTAAGAGTCTTCCAAAACAATAAGGAATGCAATCTCTTAATGGTGGCATCCATACCAGAGTGACCTCCTTGAGGAGTGGCATGCCATAGTTCAATGATAGCTGTTCTTAATTGTATTTCATCACCAACCAGAAGCATGCCCTTCCACCTTAGCTGGTTGTTACACCAGGTATATGATTTATAAGGTTGATGTTGTATCTTAGTGATCACAAACTGCAGTATTGGATCAGTGAACCAGGTATTTTGAATCTGAAGGAACAAGGAATCATTTGGAGTTAGCAAAGAAAGAGCTAACAACTCAACATCTGGTTTCCTTGACAAGGCATCTGCAGCCTTGTTTTCTACTCTCTTTTTATACTCAATAGAGAAATCAAAAGCCATGAGCTTTGAGATACCAGCAACCTGAAAATTAGTATGAACCTGCTATTTCAAAAGATGTTTTAGGGCCTTCTGATCTGTCTTCACAATGAATGGTCTTCCCAACATATAGTGAGACCATTTGGTAACAGCAAAGATGAGTGCCAACAGTTCTCTATTATAGACTGACATTGCCTGGTGTCTTGGAGCTAGAGACTTACTGATGTAAGCTATAGGATGCCCTTGCTGCATTAGCACTGCTCCAATACCCTTCCCACTAGCATCAGTTTCCCCAACAAAAGATTTAGCATAATCTGGCATTGCTAAAACAGATGCAAAAACTAGTGTTTGTTTCAGCTGGTTAAAAGCTGTAGTGCATTCTTCAGTCCAAGAGAAGCCTTCCTTCTTAAGTTGATCATGTAATGGTCTGCATATAGCACCAAACCCTTTGATGAACCTCCCGTAGTATCCAACAAGTCCAAGAAATCCCCTCAGTTGTTTAATATTGCTAGGAATAAGCCAACTCTGTAAAACCAGTATTTTCTTTGGATCAGTTGAAACCCCTCCAGCACTGATAAAATGACCTAAGTACTTCACCTTCGACACACCAAATGCTCACTTAGACATCGTAGCATACAACTGATAGTGTTGCATCAATTCAAAGACAACCTTCACATGCCCAACATGAGCAAACATGCTTTTACTATAAATCAAAATTTCATCAAAAAATACTAAGACTGACTTCCTCAATAATGGTTTAAAAATAGAATTCATAAGGCTTTGGAATGATGAAGGAGTATTAGTTAGCCCAAAAGGCATACTTAAGAACTCATAGTGACCTTCATGAGTTTTGAAAGCTGTTTTGTGGGTGTCTTCCTTTGCCATTCTCAGTTGGTGGTACCCTGCTCTAAGATCTATCTTAGAGAACACAACTGCACCACCTAATTCATCAAGCAAATTTTCAATAATGGGTATAGGGAACTTATCCTTAACTGTCATATGGTTCAACTCCCTATAGTCAATACACAACCTCCAACTATCACTTTTTACTACCAATACAACAGGTGATGCATAAGGACTAGTACTGTGCTGGATTACCCCTTGGTCCATCATTTCTTGAACTAACTTCTCAATGATATCCTTCTTTATCCCAGGATATCTATATGGTCTTTTGTTCACCGGACTTGCAGATTTTATTAAAGGTATTCTGTGATCAAAAAAGCCTCGATGAGGGGGGGGGGGAAGGTTGTAGGTACTTCAAGGGGGGGTAAGGTTGTAGGTACTTCAAAAATACATGAGTACTGCTTGATAATAGCAGACAAAGCAGGTGTAAGTGTAGCCTCCTGTGTTGCTTGTATAGTTGTGGCACTGCTTTACATTTGCATCTTTGTCCATCAATGACATCATGAAGAACTGGGCCTCTGAGTCATTTAGTTTGGGTAGAGAAGTAGCTTTAGTTGACTTCCATTGGTTATTAGCACCCCTCAGTACATGCTTCTTGCCTTGGTGCACAAACTCAATAGTCTTGTTCCTGAAATCAAACAGGATTCTTCCTAAGGTGCTGAGCCATTGCACTCCTAACACTATATCCACATTTTCTAATGGCAACAGTAGGAAATTTGATGAGAAAGTTGTTCCTTGCAGTAGCCACTGTAGGTTCTTGCACACAGCAGCAGTCTGCACTTTTCTACCATCGGCTACACTGATAGATTGCTCCACTATAGAGCTAAATTGGCACCCTAGTTTCTTGGCAACTTCCTGATCAATAAATTTGTGTGTACTCCCAGTATCAATAAAAACTTGTAATGGCCTTTTTTCATGATAACCCATGACTCTAATTGTCTGGTAACCAGACACACTAGTAAAAGCTTGCAAGGATATAGTCATAAATTCATTCCCAGGCTCTACAACTTCTTGGATCAATACCTCCTCTTCCACCTCGATTGTTGTGGTCATTTCCTCTTCACACACCTCCACCATATACAATTGCTTCCTCGACTTGCATTTGTGCCCTATCTCATATTTTTCATCACAAAAAAAGTACAGACCCTTAGCCCTTTTATCATCCATTTCAGCGGCAGTCAGCCTCCTTCCCAGCCTTTTGGTTTGTTTGAGCTGATATCAGTATTTCTTTGGTGAGTAAGGTTTGGTGCGAAGGTTTTCTGGTTGTTTTGTGATCTGTATGCAATTGGAGTGGGTAGAATAGGATTGGAGTTAGAATAAAAGTATCTAGAAACAAGTTTCAATCCCCAAGTTTTGGCTTGAGCATCAAAAACTTCCTCTTGTAATCTGACAATCTTATATGCTTGCATTAAGGTTCGTGGTGCTTGGATTTTGACGGCTTTATTCAACTATGATTTAAGTTCCCCAAAGAAACAACTAATGGCATTCTCAGTAGTCAGATTAACAATAGTTAACAATCTGTCAAACTCTGTTTGGTATTCCTTAACCCCAGCAGTTTGGCTTAAATTCTTCAAAACCTCCATAGGATCCTCAAAATTATCCCCAAGGCTAGTACATACTTAGTCCACAATAAGTCTAGGGTAGAAGGCCTAGACTTCACATAAGATCTATGCCACGCAATGGCATCCCCACCCATATGAATAGAGGCTACCTTCATCCTTTGTTCAAATGGAACCTCATCCATGGAGAAGTATTGATCAACCTTATATAGCCATATACGCAAATCTTCACCAGAGAATCGAGAAAAATCTAGTTTTGAGAATCGAGTA